GAAGATTTCGGAGTTGCGTCTTCCTTGCGGGCAAGGGGTCGCGACAATGCACCACCACACTGGGCATTTAATAATTTAATACCATCTTTTTTTGGTACCAGGGATTGAACCCAGGGGCATTTAACCACTGGGCAACATCCCCGGCCCTTTTTTAATATTTTATTTGGGACAGGTTCTCCTGAGTTGTTTAAGGCCTCGCTAAGTATTGAAAGGAGTCTACCCTCTTGAAGAGGACTCTACCCTCAAGAAAATCATCTTTTCACAGCTGAATGGAACAGCAATCTATTAACAAGCAAAAGAAGATAATTATAGATTATAGAGCTAGAAATGAAACAAACAAGTACTATTGATAGAATTTGCTTGTGAGGTGGAAAGAATGAATTTGCATGGGGTGGTAGGGAACATCTCTCTCTGAAGGGGATGCTACAGTGCATCACTGGAGAATGGGACAGCCATGATGAGGGGTGGGGAAAGGACTTTAGTGATAAAACATTAGTGGGCAGTGAGGTTGGAAGACAATAGAGATGATGAGAGATGACAGGAGAAAGAAACACAGCCCAAAAGGTGACATATGATTAAGCCTGGTAAGAAATTTAATCTTACTCTAATGTATCATGTAACATGCTGAAGGCTTCATTTGAAAGGGATTCTTTGTGGGGTGAGAGGCAAGAGTTGACTGTGAGACTCCATTTAAAAGGTTTAGACTGGAGTAGGCCATTAGACATGTGAAGAGATTTGATATATAGTCCAGAGCGAGAAACAGCACAATATGGCAATGGACTAGATATGAGAGAAGAAAAGGACTAAGGATTACTCCTGACCTGAGTAATTTAGCAGATGGAAAAAGAGTAGGAAAAAGTTTTGTTTTATTTTGATTGGTTTGGGGGAACTGGAGAGATTTCTTTTGGATACAATATATTCAAGATGCTTTTTCGGACACCAATCAGAACAAGTTGATCACAGAAGAAGAACACAGACGGGCACCAGATCAGAGATTTAAGTGTAAGTCATTAGCAAAAAGATGGTTTTTATATAACTGGAATTGCTTAATATAGTAGCTATCATCTTTTAAATGTTTGCTCTGTATTAGACTAACCAACCCATTCAAGTGTTTTTGCAAATATCATCTAATGTATTTCTGAAAACAATATTGTGTGGGTGATATTCTTATTATCCTTATCATATAGATGAGAGAAAACTGAGGTTTTAGTGACTTGTCCTAGGTGACCCAGCTAGTAATTTGCAGAGTCTAGAAAGACTTCTGAGCCCACAGTGATTCCATTAGCCACCATAACCTTTTTAAACCAGCTCTTATATCCTGTTACTAAATAGATTCTAGTTTCATTTGCTGAATCCCAGATGATACATTTCAAGTAGCTACTATAATGCCCCCCCCAGCATTGTGTTCTTTTACACTAAAAGAAACA